TAAAAGCTCAACCCGTATAAAATAGTCGGGTAATTAAATAATACAAGTTGACACCAAACACCTGACATAAACTATTTACTCCTATCCAGAGTCTAATACGGTGTACCAAACGAGCCCAAGTGTCACATGTATTTAAAATACAATATATATTTTTAAATAATTTAAAATTCATAAAATCTAAAAAAGAAAACCAAAATTTTATGAATTTCAAATGAAAAAAATAAAAAAATTTCGCAAGAACCATTTGTGATAGGTGCGTGAACGTCAGGAATGTTTTTTTATATATATATAGGCTTAATATCACAAAACGTCCCTAAGATTTACGAAACTATCAGATTGCATCCTTAATGTTTTCTTTTGTCATTCGTGGTCCTCAGAGTTAGTATGTGTGATCACAAATGGTCCCTGCCGTTAGGTTCCGTAAAAATATATATATATATATATATATATAGTATAGAGAGCACTCTTCGTTTTTTGGGAGCTGGGGGTCATTTTCTCCGCTCATGGTTGGGCATTAAAATAGTATAGAATTGATGGCACCTTCTATAGTGCACCAAGCGTACCCATGCACCATTTGTTATTTATAATGCGCCCATATTTTTTAAGATTGTACCAATAGTATAGAAAATTTATTTGATGTTATTTAATACAAGATAAAATCAAATGTAATCTGTCACCTCAGCCATCCCTATCTACACTATGCAAACTGCTCAATTGCCTATGTCGGTGTGTAACAAGCTTGACCAGTTGAACCGGAACTTTCTTTGGGGTCATACTGATGATAAGGCCAAGGTTCACTTAGTCAATTGGAAGACTGTTTGTAATCCAAAAGCCACTGGTGGTTTGGGTCTAAAAAGTGCTGCCTTGATGAATAAGGCCTTACTGGCTAAAAATGCTTGGAGACTGCATCAAGATGATCATGGTCTCTGGGCTCAAGTGTTTAAAGCCAAATATCTCAGGAATTGTGATATTCTGGCTGCCAATGATAGCTATACTTCTTGTAGCTCTAGTGCGTGGAGGGGTATCCTTTTTGGTGCTCAGATTATTCCTCATGGTACCAAATGGAGGGTGGGTTCTGGTGATCATATCAGATTCTGGACTGATAATTGGCTTAGCTGTGGGCCTTTGATCCAATATGCTACTATTGACATTTCTGAAGATATGCTCCTTCTTAAGGTTAGTGACTTTTTTGCAGACAACACATGGAATGTTAATTGCTTACTGGAGCGTCTGCCTGCTCATATTGTCCACTTGATCCTTTGTGTGCATGCTGGTTTTCAAGACAGTGGTCCTGATAGATGCATCTGGAATCTCACTACTAATGGTAAGTTTTCTGTTAAAACAGCCTATGACATTTCCACCATTAATGATGATCCTTTGACGTGGTCTTGGAACTTTATTTGGAAGCTTCACATTCCTATTAGAATTAAAACCTTCCTTTGGGTTCTTTGTCATAAGAAACTTCTTACCAATGTTCAAAGACAGAAGAGGGGGATTGGTCAGGACACTTCCTGTCCGAGGTGCTCCTCTCATGTGGAATCCCTTGATCATCTGTTTATTGATTGCACTACTACTCAATTAATTGGGAAGGATTTTTGGGAGGATGTTGAGGCTCCTAATTTCCCAATGGTTGACTTTGATTCTTGGCTTCTTAAAAACTTAAAATCCCACAGAACCTTTCATAGTATTCCTTGGTCGTTGGTCTTCACAGTTTATATTTGGTTTGTTTGGAAATGGCGTTGTAAGGTGGTCTTTGAACAGAATTTTTCGACTCCGCCTAACTCTCGTCAAATAATTTTGAATTATGCTATGGACTGGTTTACTGTTTGTAATCATACTCCTGATTCTGTTGTGATGCGTCTGGTTCAGTTACATTGGATTGCCCCCATGCAGGGCATGGGATCTGTAAAATCAATACTGATGGTAGCAGGAAAACTGAAACGGGTTGTATTGGTGCTGGTGGTATCTTGAGAGACTCCACTGGCAAGTGGTTAAATGGTTTTTCTGTGAATCTTGGGGTTGGGACAATCCTAGAGGCTGAACTGTGGGGTGTTTTTTGGGGCCTCAAGTTGGCTTGGAATATGGGTCTCAGAGTTGTGGAAGTTGAATGTGATGCTAGCTCTGTGGTGGACCTCCTTCAGAATGCTCCTATGTCTGATCATCCTCTTTTTAGTCTTCTAAACTGCTGTCATCTGAAGCTCCATGATGACTGGACTTAGAAATTCTTATCATCACAAAGAGAGTTAGATAGACACACGACATCTATAGGTAAGACTACAATTATCCAATTAGTTAATTGATATTTATACTCTAAATGGGCTTAACATTAACACTAACTATAAGAAAGAAAGAAAAAACTCACCTAGGCTATAGCCCAGGTTGTACAAGTCATAGTTCCGTGTAAAATATTGACATTGAGTATTTTATAAACAGCCCTGTATAGATACATTAAGCTAAGGAAACGAGATTATCTTTATTCTGCCCTGACCTCCGCCATAAGGTAGTTGACAGAGGAAGAATACTTGTAAATATAATAACATGTGATTACGTAGTTGCTGCATTGACAGAGGAAGAATACTTTTATTAATTTCTACCCCTTTTTAACATTGGAACTGTGTCGGCAAAAATTTAATGAAAAAGTGTAGGTTAGGCCACGTGTGCAGAGGACTAGACTAGGTTAGCTTAAATGACTAGATTTCAAGTGGAATCAAAGAAGAAAATGGATATTGTCATATTTTTATGTGTTTAGTTTTGCCTTTAAGCACTTAGGTCGGATTACTTGCTCTACAAGACACATGTCCACCTATTTTTAAATGTCTACTTAAAACTCAAATTTAAAATAAGTTGTCATGTAAAATATATTTGTCATAGTATTATTAATTACTAAATTACAATACATGTTATTACCTTCATATTTATTTTCAATCATGTCATTAACTTCCTTAATTATAAATGATTCTCCCTTAATAGCGTATCAAACACCTCGTTTTTTTTCTTTTGGTTGAGACTCTCTCTAACCAATCATCAACAATTCATAAAAAAAAAATTGAACCCAAATTTTTCTTCCTAAATGACATATCCAATTAGGGGTGTAAAAGATGAAATCTTAATCAATTAGATTGGGTACATAATTTTCAGAGATTTGATTGTAAGTTGAAGCGCTGGCACGCAGACACCCCCTCCGAACTAAAAGACAAGAATGCCATGTTTAAGTTTTGAGTGTTCCCATGCAAAGTCAGAGCCAATACATCACATGAAGGTGCTCACGTGGAATCAAAGAAGAAAATGGATATTGTCATATTTTTATGTGTTTAGTTTTGCCTTTAAGCACTTTGGTCGGATTACTTGCTCTACAAGACACATGTCCACCTATTTTTAAATCTTTACTTAAAACTCAAATTTAAAATAAGTTGTCATGTGAAATATATTTGTCATAGTATTATTAACTAAATTACAATACATGTTATTTACCTTTATATTTATTTTCAATCATGTCATTAACTTCCTTAATTATAAATAATTCTCCCTATTAATAGCATATCAAACCTCGTTTCTTTTGGTTGAGACTCCCTCTAACCAATCATCAACAATTCATAAAAAAAATTGAACCCAAATTTTTCTTCCTAAATGACATATCCAATTAGGGGTGTAAAAGATCAAATCTAATCCAATCTTAATCAGTTTCGATAATTTAACAAATTAGATTGGATACGTAATTTTCAAATATTTGATTGTAAGTTGAAGCGCTGGCACGCAGACACCTCATCCGAACTAAACAACAAGAATGCCATGTTTAAGTTTTGAGTGTTCCCATGCAAAGTCAGAGCCAACACATCACATGAAGGTGGCCAAGTGCATGCTTTGGAAAGAAAAAGTTGGTACGTCCTAACGTGCGGACTATAATTTGTTTGTTTTTTTTTACTTTTATGAGATTTTATTACTAGCCATATTCTTCTATAATTTGTTTCTCATTGTTTCAATCGTTGATATTACTATTTTCAATTAATTAACCAAAGTAACAATTAAGTTTTCGGAAGAAGTACCAAATTCGAATCTCCCATCCTTTAAATTTACTCATCACAAGAAAAATAGTATGCAGAAAGTGTTTGAAATTATACGCCTTTATATTTTCTTAGTAGCAGGTTGAATATAGAAATTTAAGTGATTAAGTCTTTCGAGATGTGGTGCTTTTTGAGGTGACTAATGCTTAGTAGGGCAACTTAGCACTATATTAGTAAAATATTGACATAAGTATTTTAACAACCCTCTATAGTCTGTAGGGCAGACTTGGTGATTCATTTGTTAAACAAATAGTTTGTTAAAATATAGGAATTGCAGTACCTAAAAACGCACAAAAGTAGTTTGTTAAAATACAGAATTGCAGTACCTAAAACGGAAGTATTCGTGTCTGAAACTGAAACAGATACCGCGTTGTATTGGGGAGAGTTTTGAATCACTACCAAAAAAGGAAGCAATAGTCACATTTTTTTAAGTAACTAATTTATTTGGTGACAAATATGGTTGGTGAATGCTCTTAACCAAATTAGTCACCATTATTTGTATCTAATGATTTAAATATAATAAATTTTATTATATCTGACACATGAATAGTAATAATGTAATAAAATATAAGAGGATAATCTTTCCTACAATGGCAATTTAATAAAAATATGTAGATGAAATCTTTCTCACTAACCAAGGCTCTTTTGCATCTGAAGAGGCGCCCAAACCAACCCCTCTTTTCCTTTCTTTTGTAATTTTTTATTGAGGGTTTCACTAAAACACCCAAAATGGGACTGAAATTATAAAAAAATCCAACACCCAAAACACTTTATAAACACACCCAAAATCCATCATTACACACACTCAAAACCTATTTATAAACACACCCAAAAAATATACAATTGTTAATTTTGGGTGTGTTTTTATGTTTAAATAGTGTGTGAATTTTTTTATAAATACATGTCTAGGATTGAATTTATTTATAATAATCTATTTTTTATTCTCCCCATAGCTCATCTCTCCCAAAGCCTTCATTTTTTTATTTTTTTCCCATCTTCTTCTTCCTTCCGTCACTTTCCATTTCTCCCTCTCTTTTTATTTTTATTTTTTCCTTCTTCTTCTCTATCTCTCTTTCCTTTTTTCCTGCTTCTTCCTCTGTCACTCTGCAATTTTTTCCTCTTCTTCCTCCTTTGCGCGTCTCCCATATATCTCTTTTTTCTTTTTCTTTTTTCCGTCCCTCTCTCTTCTCTTACTTCTTCTCCTTCTTCCCGCTCTCCCTCGAAGACCAGTTGTTGTCTGGCCTGGCCTTATCCTTTTCGTGGGCTAATATTCAGATCTGAACCGCATATCTCCTTAGAAAGGTAAAGGTTTTGTTTTTTCAAGTTTTCATGTGGGTTTAATTTCAGGAATGATTTTGGGTTTATTTATGTGTGGGTTTTATTTATGAGACTCATTTGGAAAGCTACTATCTCTCAACCTTCTATTGAAATCCTTTTCAGATCAGAGTTTTTTACATGTGAAGCCCAACCGACGCCGACATTGTTCACACAGATCCGATTGTCTCTTCAACAGCCACGTTGAAGCCCAACCAACGACAACGTCAACGCCGTCAGTCTGACCTTCATGTGTTTCAAACGATGTTGGCCTAGATCCTGTTGCCTTTGTCTTTGGTTTATTGTTTGAAGAACATTTGTTTCCTACATATGTAGCTGGACTGTGTCTGGAATTTTTTTATTTTGGTTTCTTCTTCTTAAGTTTCTTGGTTTGAATTATTTGGTTAAAGTTTCAACTCTTATGGAAGGATGATATATATATATATATATAATATGGGTCTTGACTCAGATTTTTTCAGCTTTGATTGTGATTTCAGCAAAGAATTGGGTGCTGGGTATTTTGGTTTGAGTGTTGTAACCTGGTTTTCGGTAAGGGATCTGGATTTCAGCTAAAAATAAAAATAAAAATAAAAAGGAATTGGAAATTATTATAATTGTGAAAAATATAATACACAAATATAACACAAATAATAATGGAAAGGGTTTCTATTTTAAAACAAAAAAGGATAATGAAATGATGTTAGACAGCGCAGTCAAATCAAATCAAATAATAAAATATAAGTATAATTTGATTAGATATGATGTGGGGCCCACTTTGGAGCAATAGGATGTCAACAAAATTTGTTACGAAATGGTTTTAATCGTGACTTTAGCCAATAGTAACGGCCACAAATGTAACGAAGGCAAAACTTGTAACTGCACCGTTACAAATGACTTTAGTCCCGAATATTCGTGGCTAATGCTGCCAAAAGTCACGAAAAAAAAAATGACTGTTGTGTGTTTTTTTTGTAGTCTTGAACACATGGGAGTTAAAATTATCACAACACTTTCTTCTAATACAAAAAAAGTTGTTTCATTTCTTTTCTTTGGTCAAAGAACCCACAAAAGACACCCCCGCCCCCCAACAGGAGCTGGCTTCTGTTTGTCTCTACGTCTCTCCCCCTCTTTTTAAATTTTTTTTCCTCAATTGGGATCCTTCCCTCTCTCTCTCTCTCTCTCTCTCTCCAACAAAAAGTATCTGAAGAACTGATTGCAACACTTGATTGAATTAAAGGCAAGGGAAAAGATCTTTAAAATGAGCCTAATATCAAACATATTTTAATTAGAACTTACAATATTACTAGTTAATTATGCGGAACATATACTCATGTAATGATTGGAAGCTTCTACGTATACACATGCATGCATGCACGCCTGCTCACGTACGAATCGGTATTGAGAGATATTACATGGACCTAAGCACACTGGAACATCATCACCTATATTACCTAACTCTCAGACTGGCATTGGTTAGATTTTGTTATACTACTTTAAATAACAAGTTTTAACATATTTCAACAAAGTTGTCATTATTGTTTGAAGATGTCTTAGTCTTTTATGAGATCATCTGTAAATACTGCTGTATCAATTAATCATTTTATAAATAAATAAATAAAAATTAATTTTGAGAAAGTTATCAGTTTCGTAGATGCGATAAAAATACCATCTAATAAAATTTGCAAGTTTTGAAAAATTACTACTTTTCAAATTGTTTTTGGACGAAACATAAGGTTTAAAGTTTAAAGTATGTGGGACCGAAGCCTGCCATGTGGCAATTAATGTACATTTTGACAATGAAGTTAATTAACGTCGAAACCAAATTGCAAAAAATAAAAAAGATTAATGTACATTATTGTGAGGACTACATGTTTATAATAAAATACAAATACATAAAAATATAGGTAGATTGTCCGGTTCAATTTAGGCAAATTTGTGAAAGCTCGAAATAAAAACATTTACGGTTTGGTTCGGGTTTTAAAACGTATAACTTATTTTTGGTTAAAACCAAACTAAACCCGTAATTGTAATTTGAATTGGCCGGTTTAATCGATTCATCCGGATTGATACCCACCCCTAGAGGGCGGGATGTGGTTGTTGATCTTTTTTTTCCAACAGTAAAAATTGATTAGTGCGAAGCATTTCTGCTATCTTTTGGTAGCTTCGATTGAAACTGAGGTAAAATGAAACAACAAAAGGTTTTAGAAATTAATATGAGGGCAAAATGTAAAAGTTTCAAACCATATAATATGATGAGTATATGTTCCGGACATAGATTGCCTTCTTGTTTCAAAAGGATTTTAAGGATGGTTTAATTTTTTTGGGTCAGGGTTTCATAGGGGTCTGGTTCCATCCTGTTGTGAACTTTTGCGAAGGCATACAAGTAACTCATATCATGTTGATTGCCTTCATCAACAATTTTTCAGTGTTGATGGTGGTAGGAGGGGGTTGGCACAGAGAGAGAGAGAGAGGGGTGGGTGTCGATTGTGGCTGGGATGGGGTTGTAGGGGCTGGGGTGACCTGGGGTAGGGGGGTAGGGGGTGTTATGACTGTTGGGGTGTGGTGGTCTAGGTTTTAGTTGAGGTATTGAGTCTATTAAGGGAAAAGCCCTGGCTTGTAGAGTGCAATTCGATATTGTGTACGATGAAACGGGTCCTCCTCCACCCAGAAAAAAAGCACATCCCCAGCTACAACGCCTCTGTCATTGACAAACACTCTCCACTCTCTAGACTGAAAAACTGGCTTTCTATATTTGCCCCGTTGCCTGCCTGATAATCTGAACTCGTAAACCCGACGCCTTTGGTTGTCGAAAACTCTGATCGGGATATCACGATCTGGATCGACACGAGGTAGCATCGCAAGCATGGCGCTGGTCACCACAAGTCTTTCGACATCGGTGGCCTTCAATACTTTCTCAAAACGATCAAGCTCCATGGGTCCACTCAACTCTCTCCCTCTCTCTCTCTTACAAAATGATAACCAAAAACCTAGCTACTTTGATCACCTGCACTGCACTATATAATATGCCTGTTGTGCTAGCTTGGTTTTTAAGTTTTGGTTATATATATATACGCGACGAATATTGGGCGGCATGCCAAGTCTTTAAATTCGAATATTTGTCTTTACAGTCTTTACAGCCAAAACGACAATAATACTTACTACTACGCACTCAAGTCAAGTCCTCTCCATAATCCATCAGCCACGGAGTTTAGGCATGTCGTTTTCTTGGAGGGAGGCACCAGCATTCAATTTTTATATCTGCAAAAATAACCCAAACCCTCTTGGAGTCTTCTCCATTACGGTGTATGTACGGAGTTTTGTTTTTAATCGCCAGATGGCTTTTATATCTGCAAAAATACTCCAAACCTCGTTTCCTGTCGTTTTTTTGGGGAGAAGCACGGGTAGTAGACTGGAGGTATCTCAGCTAGGTATAAAACTGGTTATTAAATTTTGTTTTAAATCTAGACCGTATAAAATCCATCGGACGGTTAAAAACAAAACTCCGTAACGAGTACGTATTTTAGTTTTTTTTGCATTTGTCGGGCCCCTGATGGAGATGGTATGAAATTATAATGCGTGTGTTGCTTCGTGTACCTGTCAAAAACCGTCTTGGGTGGTCGGTCGACTTTAAAATTTGTTTGTTTGTTCGATACTTACTCGATTGTCCGTTTTCACTAAAATGACTGTTTGAGGAAATGGTTAGAATGCGGGAGTAAATAACATAGAGGAGTCATTATGCATGGCCATGCATGTGGCTACCCTTAGATTTTCTGGTTTTACTTATTTGTTGGAAAGTCATTTTGTTTATTTATAAAAGTGGCTTCCGTAAGGTTACAATTTTGTAGGAAGACTTGTAAAGTTTATCGTTGTCTTATATGTTACCTCAACTTAAATTAGAATTTATTTTATTTATTACTAGCCTTTCCGCATGCGCTTCCACGCCTACGAGAGGTTTTTTTAAAAAAAATTAAAATTTATTTTAGAATTAAAAAAGATAATGGGTAGTTGTTTTCCATAAAAATAGGATCCATTATTTTTCTTTTAAATTTAATTTTTTTAAATGAAAAAGTGTGAATTTACCATATTATCCTCATTTAATTAATAATTTCAATTCTTAATGTTTGTATTAACCAAGGGCATTTTCTGATATTTTGAATGTTTCACCATTCTCTACCTTTTGCTTTATATATATAGGTTTATTATTATTAGTTTATCGCTGAGTAAAAATGATCCCACAAGACAACCAAGGTGGTTGGTGTGAGTGGTTCGGCACTCTCATTCCTTAAGAGAGGTCGGGGGTTCGATCCCTGCTCTTGTACGGAGTCACCACTTTGGCTAGCACTTTACCCCTTACGGGCCGACCCGGTGTGAGTAGAGATTAGTCTGGATTGTGGTTAAGGCTTAAAGGTGCCACCCATAGTTGGGGCCCATCCAGGACCACCTCGTGGCTCAGACCCAAAAAAAAAAAAAAAAAAAAAATGATCCCACAAGATCAAACCGAATTGAAAACCCGTAGCATCAAACAATGGACTAGACCAACGTTCAATTAATTGGACTTGCCCAGTCCAAACTAGCCCACCAAACAGGGCCTTTCAGTTGACCCACTGGTTAGACTCTACGGGCCTGAAATAAAGACACCCACAACAAAAATGAAATAGCATCCTACTTCGACTTCTAACTTCTCCGTCAGCTACCGTTGTGCTTCTGATAAACATCTAACTTCTCCAATTCCAGAAATGCCCCTCCTGAAACCTCATATTCACAAGCCATCTTCCTTTCCATGTGCTCCCTCCGACCCTGCTCGCAGAAAAAGCAATCACATACCTCAAACGCCATCTCCACAACCTCAGTTCTCTCTCTTCCTGTTTTACCCCTGAGGCAGCCTCCTATATACTCCTCAAGTCCCAATTAGAATGGTTGCTCTCTCTCTCCCTCTCAGATAATTTAATGCTCAAACTGTTGTTTTCATTTTGTCCTCGGCAGGCTCTGATGAAAAATGCTACAGATGCAATGAAGGAGTCTCGGTAATAATTCGGTTGCTAATGTTTGCTTTGATGTTCCATGACTTTTTCTATGGTATTAGATGTGTTGTAAAAGTACTGACTGGTTATTTCTTCCATGACAGCTAAATGCACTCCAATACAGAAGAATGGATTTTGAAGAGTTCTGTGCCGCTGCATTAAGTGTTCATCAGCTTGAGGCTCTTGATCATTGTGAAC